GAACAACGTGATTGAGATCAACAATAAAGAGATTTTATATACAATAAATGCACATACAAAGATAAACAGAATTTTGGTTTGGTTGGTAATTGAGATAATGTTGTGAAAGAATATTTACGTGCAGGGTGTGGTGAAAGTGATACTGATGCTTTTAGCTTGTTGGCCAAATTCCATCATTGTTTCTGCGTGAAAAAAAAAAAACGTATTGTTCAACTGTTGTGTGTATATTATTTATAGGTCAAATTTAGTTGCTAATGTTGTCTGCCTTTATGCCGATAGGCTAAAATTGATGAATGACGTAGTAAAAATTTCCTCTTTAAGTCAATTGTGGGTGAAATATCCATGCGGACAATGGTTATTTGAATGCTGCATTGAGTTGTTGAGAAACTAAGTGGTTTGATCAGTAAATTGCACAGCGTCAGTTTTAAGATCTCTTAAATTTGTGATTGACGGCTTGTAGGTCATGTGTTTTGTTTATATAGAGTTGGGTGCTGGCTTTGGCTCAGGGACGATGCAGGCGGGAAAATGTTCTGTTGTGACTTTGATACAGTTTTAACCAATAGAAGATTGTAATTTTACTGAAACGAAATGTTGATTAGTTGGGCTGTTTATAGAGGAAACATTTTTCGAAAGGGGTGGAAGGTTAATATAGGGAGATGCCACAAAGATCTCATCATTTAACAGTCAAATGGATAGATGTAACCATGAGGATTTTCTATGTTAACGTTTATTTTTCTACTACTCACCAGCAAGGAACTCTCTTCTATTTCTTTCTTCCCGGTCAGTGTGATTCCTAGACTTTAAATGCAATGTCAATCGTTATCTATTTTTCTTCTTAATTGCTGTCTTGTTTATTGATCTCTCCCTAACAATGTTTTTCTTTTTCATATTATTTCACACTTATTAACCCCTTCCATCTTAGTAGCTGTTTTGCTTGGGTTTATGATTAAATAAAATTTAATTTCTGTACTTGGTTGATTTCGACATCTCTAATTTGGGCCAGCATCCTCGGATATTTCTCTGTTGATGATCAAAGGTTACCAGATGCGTTAATTGCGGGTTTTATCTACTTTTATGACGATGAAGTAGATTTAGGAATTTTAATGTCTGTACTTTTCTAATCAAATGAGTCTAATGAAAAGGATCTTTTAGGTTTGATATTACAACAGCAGAGATGCGTCTTGTTTATAGTTGTTGACGAGAAAAAATGGTATCTATGGCCGAGTTCAAATTGCAGGCTAATCTCTTGCGCTCACTTGAAATGTTCTTAGGAAAGGCACGAATACGTTTCTTCACCCACAAACTATGGATTAAATATCAGGTAGACTGCTTTCTATAGACTTCAGTGGTAACCAGAAAACTGAATTCCGAACCGTGGAAAATGCAACGAGAAACCATTCCACTGTCTTTCTCAGAATGCATGACAATTTATATGTAAAAGAAAATGAAACTGTGAAAGTCATGATCCTATACGTTCTGGGGCATTAAAAATAATAAAGGCATTTTGTTTGAATAGATTAAAAGTCTGTTATCATGAAAAACATACAAAAATATCAATTCTAAATTTACTCTCCTTCGAAGTAGTCCCCTTCTGAATCCACACTTCTTATGCAGCGCCATTACTATTGATGGAAGCTGTTTTAATTGTGGGGTCGTTTCGGAATCTCGTCGCCAACTGATATGTCCCGGAAGGTGATATATTTGTTTGGAGTAGCAAAAGAAATTTGTTGACTACTGTAACCGGTGGGTCAATCCTTGGGTAACCGAAATGGACTGGTCCTCGTGTCGAGTGGTAGGCCAATAGGCGTGACAATAAGCGAAGACAATAGGCAATGATCCTGTACCTCCCTCATCAGTCTGTATTTATAGCGCGACACTGTATTAATCATATTACTGTGAGGGGAACTGGTTTCTATATTGTTATCGAAGCATTTCTAGACTGCATTTTTTTAGTGATGGCGAGCAGTTGCCTCGAAGCTTTCTCTTATTTCTCGACGTCTTGAGATCTTGTTCCTTTCATTTGAAATTGGATTTTGTCAGAGAACAAGTCGCAAAGGCGATATCCTGGAGAATATGGTGGTTGTCGGACCTGGGTAATGTTGATTTCTTGATAAAAACTGCTGCACAAAGAGATGGTCACTGATGGAACGTGGTGGTGAGACGGTCACACTTCATACACTTTCCTTCAAGCACTATCATAAGAAAAAGCGGCTTGCATTTTAGCTTCAGTACCGCAGCAACGGTTCTGATGATTTTTGGTCAGACTCGTAATGTCTACGTGCTTTGGTCCGCTCATTTTGATATATTCGTGAACGTTGCACAAGTCCCTGACTTAATTTAAACCAAAGACAACTTAACGCTCCTCGGTGGACAGGCATACCCTTGTGTATTAGCCGCGTATCGCATTCACGACGATGCAGGAAAACAGGTGAGAAATATGTATCCTCTACTTCCGTGCTCTTATATGCTTACTAAGTTGATTTTCTTTGATATTTGATCACCATTATAGGGCATCAGAGGAGGACACAGCTGCTGTACAAGCAAACGTTTCTGGGATTAGTTCCCTCCATGCTCAATGGCCGTCAATTGAGATTAAAAACAAACTTATAAATGGAAATAATTCACTTTTTTATATTTAAATTCCGTACAGCAATAATAGCAATTTCTCTGAAGTAGGTATCACTAAATGTATCGGGGAAAAAAAAAAAGATTAAGGTTTCAAATTAATTTTAAAATAATACTTTTTTTGAACCCATTTTAGTTTTAATTTCAAGCTAATAAATTAAATTTAATATTTCCGATGATTAAATATTTTGCTGTATTTCAAAAACTAATTTAAATTGACTGGAGTTCTTTTCTAAATGGCGATTCTCGCCCTTTTTTTAAATGTTTCTTCTTCACTGTAATTCTCTCTATTAAAAAAAATCGTCAAAAATAAAAATACTTTTTCTGAAATTTTATTGAAATACCAGCCTGATTTAAAGTATAATTAATCTGAATTGAAAACAAATAATATTTTTTTTAAAAAATTGCAGAAATTAAATTTTAACTGGATTGGGCCGTGTTTTTTAACTGACAGTAGCTGTCTTGACGTGTCTGACAATGTGATGACAGGTAATATGTTCTACGGAGATTTATTCAGAGATATAATTCAAGAAAATGATCTGAGCGCCATTTTTATTTGATTTTATACTCAGTAATTTTTAAACATTAAGAAAAAAATTCTCCGTAATCTAATATTTTATCGAATTTTAGAAATGTTATTTTAAATTTACAATAGTCATCGATTTTTATTTTTAATAATGTCGTACTTAGAAAAATGAGTAACGTGCATTTAATACTGTTACCATATCTGGTCTTGTGTTCCCTACATATCTCGAGATTCTTGACAGAAACCAAAAGAATAATCTGTTGCAATGTAACAGGATTCTGACCGGCATCTCGACTTCAGTCACTTTGTCAGAGACGTAATGTGACTTCCTTTTGTCTTTTTTTTTTTATAAATATTTTAATGGCTACTGTTCTGATTAGCTTTTTTCCCTGGTGCCCCACTCTATGAATTTAAGCATGCTACTAGATCAAGGGGCAGGTCCCACGTTTTTACTGTTGAAATCGTTAAATATAACCGCCATTTCTACTCCAACAGTTTCTTTTTTCGCCCTTCTCAACAGTGGGAACTCCCTTCCACTTACTTGTCTCCCCTGAAAAACTACAATCTTCAAGGGCAAATTTAAAAGTAGTTTAATCGCAATCTTCCATTGTCTTTGCTTTTGGCCTTGTTAGGGGCCAGAAATATAGACACAAAGAGAGTGAATTGAGTTAATGAAGAGCATTAACAGAACAGTATTACAAACATATAAAAACGAGAGTGTTACAGCAAGAATGTTTGGTCCGACTCAGAGCTGATTACTGAAACTTCCTTCTCCAAAAAAGGCAGTACTCTGCCCTTTATTTTAGCTGGGGAAAGTCCATGCGTGCGTGGGTAAATTACTATAACAGCTTTGAAACTCGTTCATCTTTTATCCTTTCTTACTCCCCCGCCAAAAAAAAAACAAAAATTTTTTTTTTTTTTTTCACATTCACTCTCTGTACCCCTACGCGTATTAGTGAATACCCGCCTTACTTGGGGGGTGAAATGATGAAGAAAAATGTGGGAAGATAACGATTAACCCCTCGACTGAAGAGGTTAGATAAAAATGGTCCGAAAGCATCCTCACGGATTCTGTCCCCACCAAATAAAGTGTTCACGAGTAGATGCTACCTGAGTACAAGTTACCCCTTAATAAAGTAATAGGAAAGGAATACTGGTGGTTTGCCCAGAGTCCGAAGTGTGGCAGTTCTTGATTGGGAGGGATAGTTAGGGGAAATTATGAATGTAGTTCGTTTGAACATTTTCCATGGAAATAGGCAGAAGAGAAGGAGAGACTTGCAACGTCTGTTCAGGGAATGGGGCAGTAGAGTGGAAAAACAGTTAATCACCCAAAAGGCCGCGTAGACGCTTTTGGACTCCACCATGCCTGGAAATTGTGAAGACTGGGCAGCACCAGCCCAAACCCTCTTGATATTCCCTTCTCTTTACATCTCTCTCTGTTTGTCATTTTCTTTATCTCCGCTCACCGTTTTGATATCCCCTCTCTCCCAACCTCAATCTCTGTTTCCCATTTTTCTTTTCTCCTTTCACCATCTTGATATATCTTTCCTCCCAACCTTCACTCTCTGTTTCCTGTCTTCTTCTTTCTCCGTTCACCGTTTTGATAACCCTCTCTCCCAACGTCACCTCTTCGTTTCCCATCTTTCTTTTCTCCCCTCACCGTCTTGATATATTCCCTCCTTACGCTCTCTCCCATCTTCTTTTCTCCCTCACCGTCTTGATATATCTTCTCCTTCATTTCACTCTCTTTATCTTTCTATCTCCTCTCACCGTCTTCCCAACTTGAAGGACACACGTACATATAGAAAGAAGACCAATTTACACATTATTGTGTCTTCCTCCTCCTGATTACGACCACATCACGTTGAAACACCGGTTCTTGTACGATCATCGAAGCTAACAAACATCGAACCTGGTCAGTATCTAGATGGGTGACCGCTAGGGAATACCAGGTGCTGTGTTTGGTTGTGTTCCTTATTATTATTATAATTTTTCTTCTTTTGCTTCTTTTCTTTTCTTCTTTTCTACTTAATTTTCTTCTACTTTTTCTCCTTCTCTCTTCGTCTTCTTTTTCTCATTTTTCTTCTTTTTCTTCTGTTTCTTTTTCTTTTTCTTCTTGTTGCCATATCCCCATCCCTCCTTATCCCTATTCTGTCAACCATTTACGCGTACTCGTAAAGCAGGTTACGCACTATTTTCCTCTGTTTGACTTCAACATATCCTGTGGGTGTTAAATTTTCCAAGCCCATTTTCCTCATTATGTGTCCCAGAAATTTCAACTGTCTCTTTCTGATGATATGTATCAGTGTCATTTTGTTTTCATTTTCTCTAAAGCTTCATCGTTGCTCACATGTTCAGTGCATGACATTCTCATCCTCCTCCTGTAGAACCACATCTCCATTATCTTAAACCTCTATAAGAACTTCTTCTGAGATGGAATAATTGTGCTTGTTCAAGAGCATTGGATACAAGAACTAGATCGTCTCCAGAATCTTTAATTTCAGGATATCGACTATATTTTAGTAAAGTTAAATCCAATTATTTGTGTAAGTGTTAAAGTGCTTGACCTGATATAGTTTCTACAGTTAAGCTAAAGAGTTGCACATTTGTTCATTCTTAAGTTTTAGGTTGGATACATTTTGATGGCAATGAATCCTTATCAAATTGTTTTTATAAAACTGTTTACCGTAAAGAAATCGTTCATCTTCTTGATTTAAATTGTCGTCTCTCAATGTAATAAGATCTTTTTCTGCTCTATTAAAAGACATCTACACCTAAACACTCTAAAATGTTTGTACTGGAGCTTCTGGCCCTTATGTCAAGCAGTACAGCAGGCCGTTTCTAAATTTCTAGCGGAGTAAATTGCATCATGGTTGGACGCCGTCTGTGAGAACATCTTGTTCAGACAGCGCTCAATTCACCCTACAATTACTATGCAGTCGACAAAATCAAAAACAAACAACGCGCATGCGCAAAATTAAAAATGTAAAATGGTGACACTCTTTAAGGGATATTAATATGTTTTTGTTTATATATCAAGAACAATATTGGGGGAAAATGTATGACAAAGCGGAAAAAGTTTTACTTTTGAAGGGTTTCGTCTTTTAGTCCGGTTATGTCCGAACGGATAAAATGCGTCACAAGGAATATTTTTTAAGTAATAAATTTTTTATTTAATTCATTCTCCAGATTTAATCGCTTTAAGCGCAAATTTTAGCGGATACCCATATTTAGATAGACGCCCCGTTTATTTATTAAACCTTATTAAACTGTATATTTATTTATTTTCACCTATCGGCCTGAATATTTGAGATATCTTAAAAAAGTGGTTCCTTCCTTTTCTTTAATAAGATTTCTCGAATATGATACTGAGTATAGGTATTCACTAAAAAAAAATTTAAAGTGATTATATATATATATATATATATATATATATATATATATATATATATATAAAATTTATATATATATATATATATATATTATATTTATATATATATATATATTTATATATATATATATATTTTATATTTTTATATATATATATATATATATATATATATATATATATATATATATATATATTTTATATATATATATATATATATATATATATATAAAGAAAAATACAGAAAAAACAAAATTCTGAATATGCCAATTATTCAGACAGATAAAATATTTTCGACGTCGGACGTTTCGGTCTATTTAAGACCATCTTCATGGACATTTTTATTTAAACATTTTTGATATTTTTAATTTAACAATTTATCTTCGAATATGGTCTTAACAACATCTAATTCAGACGATAACTGATCATATTTAAACAGAACGTTCTGATCTGTATAAAATTTCAGTTATCTGTTTGAATTCGACTTTTCTTATTTCCATCGTCTTTTCGTTAAATTGTTATAAGTTATATGTTAATTATGTTTAAATGAAAATGTCCATGAAGATGGTCTGAAATAGACCGAAACGTCCGACGTCGACTTTATTTTAACATTAATAATGCATATTCAGAATTTTGTTTTTTTGTATTTTTCATTTCATATTGTCGGATTTATATCCATATATTTTTTACATATATATATATATATATATAAATTTTTTTAAATTCCCTTTGTCAATCGTTTTTAATGAAACTTGTATATAAAGATGGATTGCATGGATATATATATATATATATATATATATATATATATATATATATATATATATATATATTATAAATTAACTGATTTAAATTTGTTTTTCGCTACACAGTAATAACCACGTTTCAAAAATGGAAGCTAAACTTGGTTATTACTGTGTAGCGAAGGAACCATATTTTAAATCAGTTAATTTTAATATTAATGCTCTGTAAATTTACATTGAGCACTGTTTTAAAAAAAAAAAAAATATCAATAAGAATACAGGATTACATATCTTACTGTTCTTTTTTTTTATTTTATATATATATATATATATATATATATATATATATATATATATATATATAAAGACTTTTTATAGGATTAGTGGGCATTGGGTAGAAGTAGTACTTTTGTTGCTCATTTACTGTACTTTATTTTTCACCCAACCTCTAAATCTCTATATATATATATATATATATATATATATATATATATATATATATATATATATATATATATATAATGTCGGGGTATGACGATAAACTACATCCGGCAGAAAGTCTTCTCATCGTGAGCTTGGAGGATTTGAGGAGCGTGGAACCACCTTTTAATCGCTGTTCTTTCCAGATCCGCCCTCACCCGGGGTGGTAGCACCTTTTAGGGTCCCAGCTAGGGGCAAATAGGATCTACCAGGGCTGCCCAAGCTCTTTAGCGTTATAGAACACAATTGTTCTTGGAGATGAAAAACTCTTACACGAAAAGCCTAAGGTATATTGTCTGCTTCGTCTGTGGCATTTATTTGCACCGACTAAGTGTATCAATAGTTCCGAAAAGTGTGGATGGTTCTGCACAAGACTTCACCACTTTTAATTAAATCACTTGTGTGAGTTTTCTGATTTGTTTACCATTACATATATATATTTTATATATATATATGTGTGTGTGTGTGTGTGTGTGTGTGTGTGTGTGTGTGTGTGTGTGTGTGTGTGTGTATAAATAAGCCCTATTATAGAAGACCTACCTAGGGTTTCATTTAAGCGGATCTTCAGCATAAGCTGGCTTACCCTGAAGATCCGTTTCGGTGAAAACAGGTAGGTTTTCCTGGCTTTATAGGATTTATTTCATTTATTGCAGCTCTGCTTAGCGTATTGAGCACTCTTCGTTTTAGCTTTTTACTCGCTTGTTTTGTTTTTTTTTTTCTTTGGACGAAAGACTTAAGACACAGGACGATTTGTTTCGGCCTGTTCAAATGTTTTTAGTTCTTACTTTTTTTTTTTCCAATTTTTTTTCTCGGTATCGATTTGTTTTGACATATCTACAAGTTGTGCTTTTCTTCCAACTGAGTATTATATATATATATATATATATATATATATATATATATATATATATATATATATATAGAATGAATGAATGAATGAATGTATGTGCGTGAGCATATCTGTTTGTATGTACGTGCGTGCGTGCAATGAAAGATTGCTTTTGAAACTTTGTTTTTCTCTGTGATTTAATAATGACCACTGTCATCAGACAGACGGAGGAAAGTATTTCGACTACGGGGCTGGCACGCAAAGCAATTTCGATATGGAAGGTGAGTCGGTTGCCTATTTGTTTAGGCTAAATCAGCTCACGACGTCTAATCAATTCTTTTGTTAAGATCTTCTATGTTCTCAGGCCCAATAAAAATTGACCATATCCGGTTGTTTGTTGGAGCGCCATGATTTCACGAAGCCAAGAGACGGAACGCCGTTGAATAGAAATTGCAACTCATTTCTTTCGTAAATATACGCTTTCAATAAGTTTGGGAGCAGAAAGTAATTTCAGTTTTATTTTTTTTTCTTACTTTTAGCATGAGCAATCTATTCCTGTTTCTAAAGTTCAAGTCCCCGATGTCAAAATTCCGCCGGCTTTTTATCAAACCATTAAGAAGCGGAACAGTAATGTATTTAGTTAGATTTATTTTCTATTTTGTAATATTTACAAAAACGCTTTATTTATGGACGCTTGTAAAAAAAAAAAAAGAAGTCCATAGCTACAACGGGTAAATTTTAAATTATAGCAGAGCGCGATCACACGTGTTTTTAAACATCACCATCAGATCTTTGTTTTCACCCGTGAGGATGATCTTGGAAAAGATCGAAAGTATTTGGGTAAGAAAAAACTACGGCTCCTTCCTTGATGAATTTTATCTTTATATCAAAAAACAGATTAGAGTACTAGAAATATGTGTATATTATTCAATGAAACATGTTTGAATAAAGATATGCTACCTATATATATATATATATATATATATATATATATATATATACAAATACTGGATAAAAACTTCCAATAACCAAAAAATACTATTCTTAAAAGAGTGCTCAATACAGAGTAGAGCAAATATAATTTATTCGAAAATTATAACATAAATGTTATAAAATCACTACAAAAATAGCCATTTTGTTTCAACACTTCTGACACATAATGTCTATTTTTGTAGAGATTTTATAACATTTATTTTATAATTTTCAAATAAATCATATATATATATATATATATATATATATATATATATATATATATATATAAATGAAATAAATTAATTCCGACAATTATTTAATATATTTTCTGTTTTTGTACGTTATTTTTTTGTAGATACAATATATTTAAGTAAAAGCTCTGTTTTTAATTAAACAGTATTAATTACATTTACCGGCTTGAATGTTCGAGAAATTTCGTAGAAAATATGCGTTCTTGACAGGAATCGTACTTGTATTCCTATACGGGATCCGTCATTTGATCTGACGTGCTATACCATTTAGCTACAGAGAAGCGTCTGGTTAGT